GCTTGAAATATACTTTCAACAGAGTCAACTAGCTTAAAATATATTTTTAACAGTGTCAAGTAGCTTAAAATGTTAGTTTCAACAGAGTCAGCTAGCTTAAAGTGTATTTACAACGGTGTCAACTAACTTAATATTTGTTTGTGTACTCTTTTCAGAATCTCCAAGCGTGGTCGCAAATAAAAGAATGCCTTCAGAACATGCCCTGAAGCTCTCACTACGCTGGTCACACTGAACTGTACAGGTTATTTATTACCACATTAGATTATTGTTTTCATTACGAGAAGAAAAACTTAGATTTTGTAGTAAAATAATTATATTTGCAGCAGCTCATCACGTGTATTATCATCAACATGATGTAACTTAATCGATTACTTTTCTAAGTTCCCGAAGTTTATGATACAAATTTTTATCTAGAACTTGAAAATTTGATAACCTAATATTGTAGTATTTAAAAAAAATATATTGTTATTCGATAGAGCGTAAAATTGTGCCTTCAATAATAATCAATTCACTCCACAAATCACTGGAATTACATATTTGTTCATCATACTAAACTGGACTGGAAATATCCATTTCAATTCCACAACTTCGCTAGAGACTTGCCACGCCACGGTTACTAATCACAGTAAAGGTAATCACTCATGTCCCGCTACAGCACCAGACCAGCAGAAAAAAATTAAGAAAACTGGAAAACAGACTTACGCACGACGCGTCATACACTCTGCATATCGTCCTTAAAATATGTTGTATGTCACATATCTTTCGGTCTATTTTTCTATATTCCAAATTGTGGCGAGGCGCTGCTGGTCCGGTGCTGAGATATTAAATAGACGATACATTCAAAATACCCTTCACAAAGGCACACAGCGTAAGATATTCTCCAATGTATACCCAGTGCATGGCGCATACGTGTTATAAATGTGACGTCAACGTGATAAATACATGCAAAGAACGATTGCTTATTAATTAAGGCCCTTGTAACGCCTCGGCAGTTAGACCACACAGCCTCGCCTTAACTTACTGCTAGCCGGGTACCGAGGCATTAAATGGGTGTTAAACTTTGACAGACACACTGAGGCACTGCATGGCGTTTTCTGGATATATTCCTTTCTATGACACCAGCGGGAAAGATGGCAATTGTTATGCTACTATAGCCGCAGACGACAGTGAGTTGACCATGTCGGAGGTCCTTTTGGACTTCTCGCGCATTTTGTTCCGCATGCGTATTTATGTGTATTACTGTCAGTCAAGAACAAACTAAAACAAGGCAAAAAATCCTGAAAAAATAGCAAAAACAAAATAAAACAAACATTAAATGTACCGTGTGCGACAGACACGACACGATATTCTGCTTTTCCATTACAATACGTGCGTCTCATTTCATCACGTGTCAAAGAAAACAAAATAGCAGAGAGAGTATACCATAATCGTACCTCATGTAAAATGTATGTATTGTAAATAATAGATAGGTAGAATTAAATAAAACTTTACGAGTCTTTTTATAAACTTTCTAAATAATGTAACATTGCTAAAAAGACGTTGTTAAAATGTGTTCAATATCTTATAATATATATGTACATAAGGTGTCTTGCTTTATGTGTTCTTAGAAAAACTTGAGTACCTTAAACACAAGTCGATGATGCCAACGGATTACTTTAAAATTAAATAGTTACGGTGAAAATTGGCAGTTTACAAACAAGTTACTAATGAATGCAGTACATCTTACCAATCATCGTTAGCAAAAATTTAAACTTACATAACATTAAAATATTAATTCTTAAAATGTACTACCGTGTAAAATTATTAAACATATTTTAAAAATTCTTTGATGTTACATTAATGTATTAGAAAACGTAAAATTGAAAAGCTTACCTGTTGCTCCATTGGCATCAAACATATTACCATATCTTTTCTAATGACACATAAAATTCTCACACGTAAATATAATTGAACTTCGAATATTAATTCGGTGATTAAAATTAAATGGGTTTTGTAAAAACACAAATTAAAAGCAGTATTGCTGTCCCCAGCAATCGAGAATCTATTCAATAAGAAAACATGAAAAGTCACCGAGTTAACAATTATAACGTTAATGATTCAACTAACTATCATAGATTAAATCATTGTTTTATCCATTCCATAATTTTTAAACTAAATTTTTATCGAAATAATTCCTCTTTGTGTAATTTGCTCTAGGAGTCATAATGTAGCTGTTATCACTTATTGAAACTCGTTGAAAAAACTAAAGTCGGATGAGCCTTAACTCATAATCTAAGTTTAGCACTATAGACTCTCAGTCGATAAAACAGGCAAACAAATTAGTTCAAACGATTTTAAAGAGATGTCGCTACGATGCTCTAAATCCAAATGGCAGAAGAAACCGTTATTAAACTTTCAGAGCACGAGATATATCGACGCCTTACTTTCTCAAACGCGTATCTTAAAGCACAAAGTTGCTGAAATGTAAAAAATGGATTGTATATACAAATTTTGCAGGCAGATTTCGCATCACATTCCCTTCATATTCACACACTGGTTTTTACCTATTCGTAAAGTAATGCGTCCAAATTAACACCCTTAATAAGAAATTTAAAATAAATACAAAGTTTTGCCATCTCTTGAATAATCACTCTTTTAAGACACGAGTTTGAGAAAGTAAGACATCGAATATTATCTTTGTAAGAAATACTATTACTGCAGGGCTAAAAAGGCCGCATTGGCAGAATTATAATATCGACCCCTCCCACATAGTATCGTATGTCGAAATTGCCAAGTTTACAGTGGAGCCTTTTAAAGTTCTGAATTCACTGAAATAAGCATAATACGTGACTTTAGCGTTTCTCAGTTATATTCGGCAAAGGTCGTTACTCACATAGAGTATTATGAAATTCTAGATATCGGTAAGATGACCTATTAGATGATCACTCTATGTGAGCAACGAGCTTTGCCGAATGAAACGGAAAACTTTATAACACTTCCCTGTAAACTTGGCAATTTCGACATACGATACTTTACGTAGGAGGAGTCGATTATGGTTAATTGGCAATTTATATTATAAATTTTCAAACAAAACAAAAAACTCAATTCATCTATTTGACAGTGCTCTATAGAGACCTCCACAGGACACTGTCAAATAGATTAATTACGTTATATAAATTGTAAGCAATTCATAATACGAATTGTCAATTCATATTATGATTATCAATTATCAATACGGTCTTTTTAGCCCAGCTGTTTATCTTTGAGGGAAAAGAAACGTTAGTACAATTTGCTCATTTTCGGCAAATACATCGTAAGTATTGATCTTTGGGTAACGATTGTTATAACATGTAAAGCTGGTAAACAAAGGCCAGTTAAGTGTACTCCAAAATTTTTATAAGACTTTATCTGTTCTTCCTAGAGCTTAAAACGTTTGACTCAAAATACAATATGTTCCTCTTATCCCCACCTGACCTTATGCGAATTAGATTTGAAAAAAAAATTGCTTCTTTTCCAAGAAACATCGACGACGCCGTACTGAGTCACAATAAAATAAAATATCAGAGATACGAGTTTGGTAATTATGACACTCAGAAGAGGGACGAATTTTGTATCATTAAGCGTCTTACAAAAAAAAATGTATGGCCCCTAAAAAAACTATATCCAAAATCAAACCTTCATATCATTTTAAAGAAGCTAGTTATATACATACATCGACTTAATGGACTGTGTATATCTATATAAACAATACGCGAAAATGATAATTGTAAAAAAAAATATTTTCCACGTATTGTAGAATGATAATTTGTTTTAATCCTAGGATAGGACTTGCACCACACATCTTAATAAATTAATGCAGAGGCTTTTGTTATAAAAGGAGAATTTGTCATTATTATGATCTTAAGGCAACTCGAACACACACACATAGAGACATTCGATTCTTGAAAATGTAACCATGTTGTCGAGTCTTTTTTCTAGTTTAATCTTAAAACACAATAATAATGTATATCATATTCAGCTAATTCAATTGTTTATTTCGCATTGTTCATACACTTTTCTATATACATAATTATAGTATTCATAGTGTTATTCCAAACACAAAACATCCTTGTTAATGAACCTTTAAATTCACGTTGTTTAAAATATTGAAAAAATTGAAAGACAAAACACTACCGCGCTTGCGTAGAATAAAGGTGCTTTTCCATCGGCAAGGCGAGGCGAGACGAAGATTGAAATTTGTATGGCAAAATTTTAATTCTCTCTTCTCATCTTCAGTGAAAATGGTCTGGACTGACGAGGATGGGCGAGGTGGGAATAGAAATATTTGTTATTTTATTATGAAAACTATCACACATTATAGTAGTATAAAAGTAACTTACTCGCGTAGTATTTTAGTCAAAAGCGGTCCGACTAGTTTCAACTATAATCGACGGTCTTCATCAGGGGTTGACTGCAACGTTCGTTGATTTGTCGAGCCAGCTCGCGATGGTTATTACTGTCATTCGCGAGATTGTGGGGTACTTACGATTTGAGATTAAAAAAGATGGTGTCGTCAGATTCTTCTACCTTCGACATATTTAATAATAATAATACACGGGACATGTTACTTCAGTCGCATGTTCATCGCTAGACGAACTGAACAGCACTGAATCGTCACTAACTGCAACCACAGCGCGAGCTATTAATGGCAATTTTTGGCGGAAATAGATCGGCGAGACTCCAATTCTCGTCTCGCCTCGCCGGTGCAAAACCACCTTAAGGCTAATTTATATTACTGCGTAATGGAAAGGAAGCGAAAGTTTGTAACAAAATTGTACACAGCATAATAAACTTTATTGTGTAACGTATACTCCGGAAGTTGCGCGACCTATTTTTGCGCTCGTATCAACTTTGTACGTTACACAATTGACATAAAAGTTTCATTGTGCTACGGTTACCAAAACCCACTTCCATTCCGTTCCGCAGCTATGTAAATTGAGACTTTAACGTATTTCCTCAATAGAAAGTACAAGGTCATGAATACGTCAAGCTTGATACTTAAGGTTTAAATTCAACTCTATGCCACTGGCGACAAAAATGCTACAAAGTCCAAAGTGTCACACTTGATGTACTCTTGACTGTACAAATTTTCGAGCAACTGTATATTTAAAAATAATTTGACCTTATAATCTATACAGTGACAATACTTTATGAATGTTTTGTTTTATGACTATACTGTATTTATAAAGCTACCTTTGTAATGTGACACTTATTAATGTTATTTTGCAAACTGTATGTTTTGCATCCTTTTTAAGCGAAGTTCTGTACGTGCTGGTGCTTTAGGTTCAAAGAATTTGCAGAGTATATTTACTTAAACATCAAGTAATAAATATAGAATATAGATAGATAATAAAAGGCAAAAATCAAAAGAAATATGGAATTCTTAAGTTCTCGCAATTGTTACAAATTGGAAATGAAACTATTTTTTCTGTTCTAAATCGCGTGTACTTATTTTTTTTTTACAAATAATCCAACGTTTCGGTGAGATGGTAGTGGAAGTAGTGGAAGACATCAACCAATTGTCTAGTATTAATTAATGACTACCATCTCAATCAGCTAGCCGTGACGGAACCTGTAAAGGACTCGAAACGTTAAATAGTTTGAGAGTTTAACAGTTATGTTATCACTTACAATTACAAAACTTTTCTAAATACACTAAAATAGTAAAATGTTTACAAAAATGTGCATTTAAAAATACATTGATTCCGGGTCGTCAAGGAGATTTTTTTTTGAGTTTAGCTAAATATACTCCGCCTATTTCTATCTCTCTTTATGTTGCTAGATAGTAAGACAATATTGGTATCGTTTCTGTTACTTCCAATTCTGTTCTCGGGAATTTCGGCAACTACCGTATCGTATCTAGTTTGTAAGTTACACAATTGACATAAAGTCCATTATACTATGTGCAATTTCGTTACAAAATTTCGCTTCCATTCCATTCCGCCGTAGCAATATATATTGAGCCCAATAATTAAAGTAAAACTAAATAGTATTACAAAAAAAAATGCAAAATAGTATCAAAATGCAACGACGTTGAATAAAATAATCTCAGTACAGAGTACTAAAAAAACGACCTCAAAAGTACGTGGAATTACGTCTATTTGCTAAGTTTCATTGAAATATCACCTAGATCGCCACTATACAGGACTTGACACTGGACAAAGTATATCGAGAGAAAAACGCCTTGAATTGGAGAAATGCAAAATCAACCATTAAAGTAATTGCTCCTAAATTAAA